CCAAGGACACTGCCAATATCACCCCCCCCCCTGGGACGTCGCCTCTTCAGAGAGGGCCTGGACACGCTTAATCGCGTCCATAGTGGACAGGCCCTCCCTGAACCCGTATTGGGCCCCGCTAATGTCGGGGCCCACTTGGGACAGGTGCTGGACGAGGCGGTTTACGAGCACTCGCTCGAACAACTTACCGACCTCGTCCAGAAGGCATATTGGCCTATACGCCGACGGGAAAGAGGCGTCTTTCCCCTCCTTCGGGAGGAGTACCAGCGTGGCACTCCTCCACCGCAGGGGGAAGACTCCTCTCCTCAGGAGTGGTCCGAGGACCTCGAGATCACAGAAGTGGAGCTGGCAAGGGCTGTGAAGAAAATCAAGCCCAACAAGGCACCTGACGGACTACAGGGCCTCGTATGGAAGATGGCCACGGGCGAGGTAGCCGAGAGGTTGAGGGCGCTCTATAACGCCTGCCTGCGGGAAAGGAGGTTCCCGGGTAGTTGGAAGAGAGCGAACCTGGTGTTAATACCTAAGCCAGGGAAGCCGGCGGATACCCCGGGAGCATACAGGCCGATCTGCCTGTTAAACGAGGTGGGAAAGATCCTCGAGCGAATTCTGGTTGCCCGACTTAGCGGGTATCTGGAGGGCCGTGAGGAGGGCCTGTCGCCGAGACAATTCGGGTTCCGGGAGGGAAGGTCGACCATCGACGCAATAAAATGCGTCAAGTCCCTCTCGGACCGGGTTGTGGAGGAGGGGGAGGGGGTGGTGATGGCGGTCGCGATAGACATCGCGAATGCCTTTAACTCCCTCCCCCACGGGGCGATCGTTCGTGCACTGGGGAACTTTGAGGTACCGGGGTACCTAAAAGGAATCACAAGGGATTACCTCGGGAATAGGTGGATTTCCTGCAAGGACAGGGAGGACAGGCATCGCGACTGGAGAGCGGAGTGCGGCGTCCCGCAGGGGTCGGTCCTAGGACCACTCTTGTGGGACGTTGCGTATAACGCGGTGCTTGACGCGCCCCTTCCCGACGGCAGCACGTTGATTTGTTACGCCGACGATACGATGGTGCTGGCCGTCGGGGAGGATTGGAGGGAGGCCGAACGAAAGGCCAACTTGGCGGTGGCCTGCACCGTTAGGGCGATTGAGGCGCTCGGCCTCAGAGTCGCCGCTGAGAAAACGGAGGCGGTGCTCCTTCACCGGGGCAACGCTGAACCGCCTGCAGAGGCGCGATCAGAATTGGGGGAATCAGCGTACCTGTGGGGGCCCACGTGAAGTATCTGGGCCTCTGCATAGACGGGGCATGGAGCTTCTCCGAGCACTTCCGGAAGCTCGGGCCGAGGCTGGAGGGGGCAGCTAATGCCCTCTCGCGGCTTATGCCAAACCTGAGGGGGCCATGTGGAAGGGTACGGAAGCTCTTCGCGAACGTGTTGGAGTCCATGGCGCTCTATGGGGCGCCGGTGTGTGCTGCGGCGTTGGAGCGCAATCGCAGGGCCCTGGCCATTCTCAGGAGGGCACAAAGGAGGGCGGCAGTAAGGGTGGTGAGAGCATATAGAACCGTCTCCCACCCTGCCGCGACTCTACTGGCGGGACTCCCCCCGATTGACATCGCGGCCGGAATTCACGCGGCGATATATGACCGGGTGAAGGAACTGAGGGAGGAAGGGGTACTCGTTACCCCGGCGATCAGGAGGACCCTCAGGTCCCAGATGCGAGAGGGTATGAGGGAAGAGTGGATGACTCGGCTGTGCGAACCAAACACCTCGGGGCGCAGGACCGTGGGATGCCATTCTCCCGAAACTCGAGGAGTGGCTGGATCGCCCGTGGACACGGGCATCCTACCGTACGACGCAGGTGCTCTCCGGACACGGGTGTTTCGGGGAGTACCTGTGTCGAATAGGCCGGGACCGCACCCCCAGGTGCAATCACTGTGGAGGAGCCCGAGACACTGCGCAACATACCCTCCAGGAGTGTCCGGCGTGGGAGGAGGAACGTAGTGCCCTGACTGGAGTGATCGGGGATGACTTATCACTGGGCAAAGTGATCGAGGCGATCGTGGAAAGCGAGGAAGGCTGGGAAGCCTTCCACACCTTCTGTGAGAGAGTGATGAGCTCCAAGGAGAGCGCCGAGAGAGAAAGGAGGGGAGAAACTAATCCCCGCGATGGCGCAGATGGAGGAGGAGGCGCACCACCAGGTAGAAGACCCGTGGGGGTGGGCACATCTGGGAAGTGTGACTCACCCCGCCCCCAACAACAACGGGGGCGCGGCGGGAGGCCTGGTGGCACCCCCGCCGCTGCGCGGACAAAGTCAGGTCCGCGACAAGAAGATGGCCCTTATCAGGGCCAGGCACATACACAAAGTGCCTAGAGGTGCGCGAAGCCACGCGCGGCGCGGGGTCGCCTGGAGAATGCCATCGTGGGCCCCAGGCGGTCCCCACACAGCGCCAAGAAGTCCACCCCCGGTGGTTTTAGTGAGGTAGGCACCCCCATTGCACGCTGGCTCCCGGGTCGTCAATTGCCCGGGAGTACAGGGGGGGTGAGTCCCACACACCACCCCGTCTCTTTCCCAGAGAGGCGGGGTGACGGCCCATGAGGGTTTCCACCGGGTCCAAAAAAAAAAGGTGGTTGAGAATGGAGGGGCATGCAGGCCATGTGCACAGAAGATGATGCGTATTGCAGTCCAGATACCTAAGGCTATCTTGAAGGTCCGGAAGTTGACGTCTACGGTCACCTTATATTTTCCTTTATGATATTCTATATGCCGCCTGATTAGATACTACGGGTCCGCTAGCCTTGAGCACTCAATAAGACTTCCTCAGGGTGCATATGCACTCAAGGTAATATACCGACGTAGGTGGAAATCCTGTTAAATGCTCAAGTTCGAATGCTGATTTTGGCGGATTCGGCATTAGTACCTGATGAATTTTTAATATAAAAATAGCGGTTTCTTAATTTTTAATTATCTCGAGAGCTATAAAGGCGCGAATTCATGCAGCGAGAAGTCGCTGGCGACTTTCCCCCTCTACGTAGACCTTTCCCCCTCTACGTAGACATTGTGTAGTAGAGCGACAAGTCGTCGGAAGTTCGTCCTGTCTGAACAGCATCGACAAGTCGACACATCGCGCCTTTCAATATGAATAATCGCACGGATTTCGAGGTTAGTGTAACATCAAAAATATTAATAAACTAATTAGTTATTATGGCTGCGATCAAGCTGTCGTCTCAAATGTTTTGAAGTATTCTTCTTCTCCTTTCTTTCAGAAAAGATAGAAGGAGAAGAGAAATACTTCGAAGCATTTATAGCAGCGGTTTCACCGCAACCTATATCATGTGTTTGCTTGTGTTTACAACTGCGTATATCTAATTTGAGGATAATTTGAGGACATGATTTTGATTTTCAGTCAACTGAATTGACTGTATTATATACCTGCAGTATATGCGAAACAACTTCCCTAGTAGCACAGTGCATTGGGCAAACATTGATTAAACATTGGCCCAATATAACCAAATATTGGGCCAATGTTTATCCAATGCACTGTGCTACTAGGGTTGTAGCTCTGATGAGATTAAAAATCATCCCTGCTTGAGAGGATTTACGAGACACTTCGTAGACCAAAATTATTATTTCCATCCGCAGTGCGGTAAGTATATAGTGGTGAAATTA